CATTTCACACTTTACATATCGAAAGCACCACTTGACCACTTACTACGTACGTTTCGTAAAGACGTTTGGATAGTTTGACTTCCCATCCGGAAANATTAAATCATATTGTAACTTATTTGCATGGTAACATGACAAAAAAAGGTAAATGTTCCAGCAAAACAAAATGTACTGTTTGACTAATAGAAGAATCTTAAAAAGCGTTTCTTCAAAGCATCATAAACGGAATAAAAGACTGAAACCAAAATATATATTACTCACCTTCTGACTTTAAGGCTTTTTTTCACGAACTTGTACAGGTGTGTTTGCAGCAGTTCCTCGGCATTGGAAAAAAAACAAATAGAAATATATGTGTGTTTCCTGTTTCGACTATTTTTTATTTCTGGTGGAGAAAATCTCCTGATTACCTCCGTGATATGTTACTGTTTTAATAAAGTATGACTGGCACCAAATATATGATTTTTTTATTTGTGTAAAATAAACACATGAAAAAAATCCCTGCATTCCTAGTTTTTGTGTTGAGCAGGTGCAAACGACATATTGAAGTAAATAATTATATGACGGGCCTAAACATTTTAAATATTTATGGACCAACGCAATGTACAGTGTTACATTCCTAAATTATCCCTAATGCTGGACACTAGTTTTTAGTAATCCAAACTCCACTGATGGTCACCAGTGATGGTCACCAGTGTTACTTTATCTTTTGTATTACTTATGCTTTCTTTTATCAATTCCCACTGCTACCAGTTTAAATTAATAGAACAATAAAACAAGTACATTTATATTTACACTATATTCACAACACAAATATTATAGTCAGTCATAAATTATACAAATCCTCACCATTGTGAAGTCAATCTCTCCACTCCAAACTTATCTCTAACAATAAACTGTAAAACTACACAGATCTACAAACTACAACTGAAACTACTATTAGTATGTGTTCATCCTAATTCTCACGTTAAGTCTAACTTTGTAACTTTCCTCAATATATCTAGATCTCTCTACTTGGTCTCCCTAACTCAACCTCTTTCCTCAGAATCCTCAATTCAGCTCTCCCCCCTAATCTTCAAAACTGGAATACCTTATTTTCTATCGCTTAGCAAATTCCTGCTACATTTGAAACTAGCCATGAGCCCTGCTAAATTTGACTCCAGCGGTCAGCTACAGCACACACACTGACATCACAGACCGGAACTCCCCCACCCCCTCTAGACTACAGCTGGTCACACTAATCTACATATCCCAACCTACTACAAGTATATATGGCTACTTAGCTACTATCTTCAAATAAAACTCTGACTCTGAACACGAGCCAAGGCTAATAAAATGCGTAGCAAATTATTTGTTCACTTTTAACAATTAAATGGCTAATAAATGCATACCAGTGACTGTGAAAACCCGAAAAAATGTATTAGGGTCGGCATGAAAAATAGGGTCGGTCGGGAAACAGGAAACACAGCTATATGTTTAAGTTGGCCTGGTAGTCCTGACAACACTAAGCAATACATTACAATGCACAATAATGTCCATGCACTCGACTGTTTCGTAAAGATTAAATCCCGCCTACTTTTGTATGTCCACTGCCTTATACAGAATAGCGTCTATACGTGCTTACACCTTAAGGAATTTATCCTCTCTCAAAGGAAATATTCGAAAAGAGATATGATTCGGCCTATTGATAATGGAACAGCGTACCTCAGTACCTCCGTTGAGTGTACGGACGTGCCCATACTTGCGCATTGTAATGTTTTGTTTGGCGTTGTCAGCAAAAGCCTTGTTTGTTGTCAATATTGTGGGGTCAGTATAAAAGCATAAAAGCTGCGGCGAACCGTCATAGCCCTGTTGAGATTCAGAGATCTATAAGACAGAAGGTGAGTACTATATTTTATTTTCAGTCTTTCATTCCGTTATGGTGCTTTTATGAAACATTGTAAAGTATGTATTACTAGTCCTACAGTACATTTTGCTATGCAGGAAAATCTACTCTAATTTTTTCGTGTTGCCATAAAAACAAGTTTTGACTAATTTTTGTCGTATCCTGATGGGGAGTCAATGAAGTAAGTGATCCAGTTGTGTTTCGCTATGTAAAGCGAGAAATGACGCTAATATGAAAATGTTTATATACTTTTAGGAATGATTGTATGTGTTCTTTTAGAATTAAAATGCACATTCATACTAAAAACTATATTCAAACAATGCTGAGAGAAATGATAGTTTGCAGGATGATTTCACACTATCAGAAATGGTAAGATATGTATTTTTCAATTCTTACTATTACGTTAAAATGACTGCAAAACATTTGTTTATCTCCCTCTGTGATTTCGTTTGGTTTATGGTTTATTGTAAACATAACATTCTACTAAATAACAGTTATTGTTGGACACGAAGGCAATTTTTCTATGCCCACTATTTTCGACGTCCGAGAAAATGAATCGCGAATTTTCATCCTAATTTTACGTCACGGCATGCTTAGCAACTCTAACACATTCCCTGACAGAAAAACATCGTGTAATTCAGCTATAAGAGGCATCCTTTTAAAAGAGATATTTAACGAGTAAGTGTATCGAGATGTTATAAAACGAAAAAGTAAATACAACGCTGTAATTGTATATACACTGTTATTTACGTAACAATGCATTATACGTAATTGTATAAATATGGTTCCTGTATTACCTGGCCGTCTGATAATAAAAATAAAGTAAGGTCAATATCCATGCCTATGTTAATGTTATTATATGTAACTATGGAATTATCAATATTTATCTGTTATTGAACTACAGTGTTGTTCCTTTTTTAGACGTTTATATTTACCGGACAATAATCTGGTTATTTTTACTATGGGAGTCTTTGTTTACCAGACAATAATCTGTTTATTGTAACTACTGTTACTATGAGTGTCTATGTTTACCAGACAGTACTCTGTTAACTGTTACTATGGGCATCTATGTTTACCAGACAATAATCTAGTTACTGTTACTATGGGCGTCTATGTTTACCAGACAATAATCTGTTTACTGTTACTATGGGAGTCTTTGTTTACCAGACAATAATCTGTTTATTGTAACTACTGTTACTATGAGTGTCTATGTTTACCAGACAGTACTCTGTTAACTGTTACTATGGGCATCTATGTTTACCAGACAATAATCTAGTTACTGTTACTATGGGCGTCTATGTTTACCAGACAATAATCTGTTTACTGTTACTAGGGGCGTCTTTGTTTACCAGACAATAATCTGTTTATTGTAACTACTGTTACTATGAGTGTCTATGTTTACCAGACAGTACTCTGTTAACTGTTACTATTGGCGTCTATGTTTACCAGACGATAATCTAGTTACTGTTACTATGGGCGTCTATGTTTACCAGACAATAATCTGGTTACTGTTACTATGGGCGTCTATGTTTACCAGACAATAATCTGGTTACTGTTACTATGGGCGTCTATGTTTACCAGACAATAATCTGGTTACTGTTACTATGGGCGTCTATGTTTACCAGACAATAATCTGGTTACTGTTACTATGGGCGTCTATGTTTACCAGACAATAATCTGGTTACTGTTACTATGGGCGTCTATGTTTACCAGACAATAATCTGGTTACTGTTACTATGGGCGTCTATGTTTACCAGACAATAATCAGGTTACTGTTACTATGGGCGTCTATGTTTACCAGACAATAATCAGGTTACTGTTACTATGGGCGTCTATGTTTACCAGACAATAATCTAGTTACTGTTACTATGGGCGTCTTTGTTTACCAGACAGTACTTTTTATGAAAGGAGTAATCTATACCCTTTATTTATTTGCATAAATGCACAGCTATTCATTTGCATATTAGCATTGCAGTTTGTATTGATGAGACCAGCACTATATACAATGCAATTCGCGATTCCCATACAGTTTTTCTTCCTAACGTCTGTGTGTGCTCGATTTAAATACCTGAGTGATTAAACAAGCCGAGACCAATGTGACAATTGACTTACACAATATACTTGCATACGGAACGACACGTCGATACCGGATCATTGGTCGGTAGGGCGCAAAACAAATCAGTGTTGTGTGACGTAGGCAAGTTTCTGGTAGACCAAATGAAAAAGGGGAGGGACTTAATCTGGATCTTTTTCTAACACTGAATTGACTGAGTGTTTGTGTAGGTAAAAACAGTTTCTATACATTCCTGCATTTTTTGCTGTTGTGATTATTTTCCCAGCTTGTTTTTCCAACTGGCTAACATTTGAACCATTTGCTGGATTTCTCAGAATTTGTGTTTCTTGTCACATAAAAGAGGTCATCTGGGCCGCAGTATGTAGGTGGACGACGGGATTAGTAGGTTTTATATGTGGCGACAGAGCACCGATATGGGTTCTGGGGGTTACCAAGACACGTGGAAGAACGGCTCTCACATGTTTAGGGTCAGAACCAGGTCTAGTTTTCGTCAGATGTTCACGGATTTAAATATATTCATTATTTTCCGAAACCTTACGTAATTGTCCATGGCCCCATCGCTAATCCCGGAGTTCATCAACACCGCAAATACCAAAACGAATAATGTTTTGCAGCCTCATTGTTTCAGGGCTACCGGTCCCCAGTTGACGTGATTTGTAAAGCTTATCAATATATATTCTTTGTCAGTAATGGCATGGGCTCTCCTATCTTGATTACCTTTACCCTCACGTTTAAATGTTTTTATTTTGATGAATCACCGCCATTATTATTGAAAACGTGGAACTTGTTGCGATCTGCTTGCCGTAATCTTTCTTTTTCAACTACCGATCTATGCTGCATATGATATTTCTGATATATGCGGGTTCATATTCGTCATCCTTCTTTTTTCGTTCAGAGTAACTTGTTTAAATGTACGGATTTTTTCTTTTAAACGGTCATTTTTTTCTGAGGACATTTTGTAAGAAATATTGTGCTTTCCTAGCGTCACCATCGTTGTTTTCTATGTATTTCTGTTTACCTCTGATGCAAAAAAAGACATTGATATCTGTATCGTCTAGTGAATCAATGTCAGACATATCGCTAAAATTGTTGTGAATTTTTAAAACGGATGGGGATACATTTCTGAAAGTTTCTTTTACTGTCACAGATTGACTAGCCGTCAAAACCAGTAAACGATCACGTGAGTACGGGACTTGGGGAGCACGAAACAATTTCCGTCACAGTGACAGATCTTGTTAGGGTTTCACGACATGGACTCGACGGCATGTGTTGAAAAGATATCAAGCCTCCGTAGCAATTTCGACTGAAAATGATTCAATTTCATTTGAATATAAGCATTGCAGTTTGTATTGATGAGACCAGCACTATATACAATGCAATTTGCGATTCCCATACAGTTTTTCTTCCTAACGTCTGTGTGTGCTTGATTTAAATACCTGAGTGATTGAACAAGCCGAGACCAATGTGACAATTGACTTACACAATATACTTGCATACGGAACGACACGTCGATACCGGATCATTGGTCGGTAGGGCGCAAAACAAATCAGTGTTGTGTGACGTAGGCAAGTTTCTGGTAGACCAAATGAAAAAGGGGAGGGACTTAATCTGGATCTTTTTCTAACACTGAATTGACTGAGTGTTTGTGTAGGTAAAAACAGTTTCTATACATTCCTGCATTTTTTGCTGTTGTGATTATTTTCCCAGCTTGTTATTCCAACTGGCTAACATTTGAACCATTTGCTGGATTTCTCAGAATTTGTGTTTCTTGTCACATAAAAGAGGTCATCTGGGCCGCAGTATGTAGGTGGACGACGGGATTAGTAGGTTTTATATGTGGCGACAGAGCACCGATATGGGTTCTGGGGGTTACCAAGACACGTGGAGGAACGGCTCTCACATGTTTAGGGTCAGAACCAGGTCTAGTTTTTGTCAGATATTCAGAGATTTAAATATATTCATTATTTTCCGAAACCTTACGTAATTGTAATCGCCCCACCGCTAATCCCGGAGTTCATCAATACCGCAGATACCAAAACGAATAGTGTTTTGCAGCCGCATTGTTCGTAACAATCTTTCAGGGCTACCGGTCCCCAGTTGACGTGATTTGTAAAGCTTATCAATATATATTCTGTGTCAGTAATTGCATGGGCTCTCCTATCTTGATTACCTTTACCCTCACGTTTAAATGTTTATTCAATGAATCACCGCCATTACTATTGAAAACTTGGAACCTGTTGCGATCTGCTTGCCGTAATCTTTCTTTTTCAAATAATGATCTAATGTTTAAATGTACGGGTTTTTTCTTATAAACGGTCATTTTTTTCTGAGGACATTTTGTAAGAAATCTTGTACTTTCCTAGCGTCACCATCCGTTGTTTATTTTGTATTTTTGTTTACCTCTGATGCAAAAAAAAAACATTGATATCTGTATCGTCTAGTGAATCAATGTCAGACATATCGCTAAAATTGCTGTGAATTTTTAAAACGGATGGCGATATATTTCTGAAAGTTTCTTTTACTGTCACAGATTGACTTGCCGTCAAAACCAGTAAACGATCACGTGAGAACGGGACGTTGGGAGCACGAAACAATTTCCGTCACAGTAACAGATCTTGTTTGGGTTTCACGACCTGGGCATGACGGTATGACGTTGAAACGATATCAAGCCTTCGTAGCAATTTTGCCTGAAAATGATTCAATTTCATAGCGATCAAATCTAAAAGAATTTATCTCTCTTTTGATAATAGCTTAATTATCTCCATTTTCCCCATCGTTTAACCTCACAAAGTCACCAACATTTGCCGGTAGCCTGTCATCATGCAAAGCAACTATATTGACAGCAGACGACGTAAGCAAAACAGCACATGGCACAAATCGCGTGAAAAAATAGACCCAGTCAAAGTTTCTTGACCAATCAAACCTCTGGAAGATCATATACCACGTGTGGTGTAAAACTCATATTTATCTAACAGTCTGCATGTATATGAAATGATCTGCAAGTGGAATATCACAGCGTATTGTGGTAGAAGTATCGAAGTAAGTATGTCTTTGGTTACCAGACAGTATTCTGGTTACCGTTACTATGGACGTCTATGTTTACCAGACAGTACTCTGGTTACCGTTACTATGGACGTCTTTGTTTACCAGACAGTACTCTGGTTACCGTTACTATGGATGTCTTTGTTTACCAGACAATATTCTGGTTACCGTTACTATGGACGTCTATTTTTACCAGACAGTACTCTGGTAACCGTTACTATGGACGTATTTGTTTACCAGACAGTATTCTGGTTACTATTACTATGGGAGTCTATGTTAACCAGGCAGTACTCTGGTTACTGTTTCTATGGATGTCTTTGTTTACCAGACAGTATTCTGGTTACCGTTACTATGGACGTCTTCGTTTACCAGACATTATTCTGGTTACCGTTACTATGGACGTCTATGTTTACCAGACAGTACTCTGGTTACCGTTACTATGGATGTCTTTGTTTACCAAACAATATTCTGGTTACCGTTACTATGGACGTCTATTTTTACCAGACAGTACTCTGGTAACCGTTACTATGGACGTATTTGTTTACCAGACAGTATTCTGGTTACTATTACTATGGGAGTCTATGTTAACCAGGCAGTACTCTGGTTACTGTTTCTATGGATGTCTTTGTTTACCAGACAGTATTCTGGTTACCGTTACTATGGACGTCTTCGTTTACCAGACAGTATTCTGGTTACCGTTACTATGGACGTCTATGTTTACCAGACAGTACTCTGGTTACCGTTACTATGGATGTCTTTGTTTACCAGACAGTATTCTGGTTACCGTTACTATGGACGTCTATGTTAACCAGACAGTACTCTGGTTATTATTACTATGGGAGTCTATGTTTACTAGACAGTATTATGGTTACTGTTACTAAGGGCGTCCTTGTTAACCAGACATCACCCTGTTAACTGTAACTATGGACGTCTTTGTTTGCTAGATAGTAATCTTGTATTGTTACTCTTACCTAGTAGTGATAAATGTGTGACTAACATGAACTGCAACACTAAGCACAGCAATACTAGCCTCGATTTGTTCGTATTGACATCACCCGAAAATAATCAATAAAATATCGGATTTTAGTATTTGTACTTACCGTTAAGATATGCATGTTTTTAATTGATGAGTTCACTAATTTTAATAAATAATTATTGTTATGATGGCATCATAATGTCGCAATATTCAATAAACATAATACAAACTTTGTTCTTAGTTCTAAAAAATAATATTTAAAAAAAATATTAATTAATATAATAGATCATAACGGGTAACAGTTTCGTAATTTAAACAGGCACAGGCGTAAATAAAACGTAATCCAAAACCATGTATAACTATACACAAGAAAGAAAAGCCTGTTTTGAAGGATTTCAGGTAACATTGCCATCACTTAAACTCATACGGGAAGAGGGACTTTTGCATTTAACGCGTCGTTCTTTATTGTCATATCTTCAGTGTATTTGTTAACTGCTCTAATCATAATTGTTTTGTATTACAACATGTTTAAGTTTTTGTCGTTCTAGAGAAGTCACGTTTTGGGATGTCCAGATATATTTCAACCCTAGATCATTGAGTGTAGTTTTGATAAAATGTAGCCACTTCGAGTGAAATGCGCCCGTTTCGTGCATTGCATACATGTATAATATTATACAACTGACACGATACTTTACCGTTTTCTGTTATTAGTTTGTGCCAAAATAAAATCATTCTTCTTCTGATAGTATTTTCTAAAGAAAAACGTCCCGATTCTCCATATACACAATTGATATTTATTTCGAGGGAAGTCACTGGCGAATGACGACTGTTTTCAAACAGTTTACCTGTATTTCGAGGTTAAACCCTTAAACAATGACACTTAAAATACTTTGCACTACACATATGATTAGGGTACACATCGAAATCTAACCCTCGTGAATATGTACTGAATACGATACCGCGAAATATTGTCCCCGCGAACCTAAAGCGCTATACAGGATTTAAATAACCATTGGTATATTTGCACTGTTTCTCATTCTTCCATGCATGTAACACATCATTACAATTACTGAAAAAGTCAACAATTCGGTTGTACTGTTAAGTACAGTACTTGTGAATAACAAACAACTGGACCTACATGTGCTAATTGTGTCTGTCACGATTTGTGTGAAAATTTCACGTCCTTCACGGTTGACTAACGGTACAAATAGGTACCCGTTACCAGGTAATTAACAGGTAACAGGTGCGTGTGTAGTACGTACGTGTGTATGACCAGATATCTAAGCACGTGTCGATTAAGGTAATATAAAAACATTTTTGATACGTAATGTTGGTATTACTGTGCGATAAATAGGTAACAGTGTAAATTTGGGTGAAATGTGGTAACATACTTAAATCAGGAAAGATATAGGTTTTAATTTAAAATCTTATTTTTCACAGGCCGTCCCGTAATACATGGTTGTGTGAACGTTATATGTATTGTTGCACAGTGTTTTCATCGTGCGCACACCGCTTATCAAGTAACGTAAAACTTCCGTTTTGTTGATGGAAGAAAATGTGTCATTGCCTGGCGTTTGATTGGTTGAAATTTCTTTATTGTCCAATTTCCATCAAATTTGCTATGTATATTTAAAGATGTATTATACCTCCCTGGATAGAACAGTACGCACCCGTAAACATTGGTTACGACTGAAGGATTAGTTTTGGGAGTAGTTATGTTACGGCAGTCGTTACAATCAGGATTTGTTTCCTTTAATGTTTCATTATTGTTGATTTCACAGAAATTGTATGCAGAACACAATACGTGAAGTATTATAAGGAATATTAAATTTGATAGTGTTCTTCTTGCTATAACAGATCATTGTTTTCGTTACAACAGTTTGAAATATTTTTTCAACGGATGTTAGTAAATTAAGATCGCATGTTACAATTTATTAATTCTATGTAATAACATTATAACATTTAATATTAACGTGTACTGTTTTGCAGATTGATCTGATATCAACACTGTCAAAATGGCCCAGAAGAATACTGAACAACACTCAGGTAAGATACCTAACATTTTGTTTCAGAATACCGTTTTGTATGTTCAATACTTCGGTCCTTAACGTAATGTCTAAACTCCACGTTAGCATTTATCGGCCAACAGTAGTATCACTTCTCATTAATTTAATGTGTTTTTTTAAAAAGCTGCAGCGCGAGTGAACAAGGGTATGACCGTTAAATCAGGGTTCCTATCCTGATCTGGAACCTAGAATAATGTTGTTGATTCATTTTATGGATGATTGTTTTTGTCCATATGATGTTTTCATAATAATTTTGCTCATTATCATATTCTTTTCAGAAGTCACTAATCAAGGTTAAAGTCATAACAAAAAAAATCGATAGTCACATTTTTTTCAAAGGTATGACGATTCTTAGTCATAACGAGTTGATAAGCCTGATAATGGTGTTAACGGTCATTTAAGGGTACGGGTAGGTTAACATGGCAGAGTGAACGAGAATCAAGGTCGAAGATCATTAAATGTTTCATTTTCCAATTAAGGTCTTTTTCAAAACCCATTAATGGATTTACCATGCCTGGCAATTAATTTTATTTTTAAAGTAGCTTAGCTGGAGTTGCAGCAGCCAATATGAAAACATTCATGAACATTTAAACAAGATTGAAATAGTGGGCAAACGATTACAGGAAGTCTCGCAAGACACGTTAAACTTTGACGACGTATTGCATTTTTTTCGGGGGACTGTTACGCGAATTACTATGCAATGCTGAATATTATATCTTTCTCTTAAGAATCATTATTTCGTGTACATTTTTGTATCTTTAATTCTAATTTGATATCATCGAATATTTGACATAACAATTAATCATGATCTCGAAAACCGATTAATTTCTGTTCTAATTGTGTATCTTCTTTTCAAAATTTGAATTCGAGTATGCGTATTGTTTCGTTCAGGGTTTTTTGTCAAATTTTTAAAGTTGAATCTCATGCGTACTCTTAAAATAAAACAGTATTGCTAACTTACGGTTTGTTTGTTCAATTTACATCAAATGATCTATGCTCCTTCAGTATCAGACTAAGATTAGATCATTTGTCTTTATCAGAAATGAAGAAACTCCAAGATGCTATTGACAACAGAGACGCCGAGGGATTCATAAATAATTTCGACAACTACAAAAAAAACCCGCATTTTGAATCAAATGTGCGCAATTATCGTTGTCATTCAAAACAGGAAAGGGGGAATATTGAGAGCAATAATACGATTCTCCATTACGCAGTTGAACGTTTACAGTTTGAAGATGGGAAGGACAACGACATTATAGAGAAGATAGTAAAACTGTCACCTGATCTTCTGGCATGTGGAAAAGTATCTGAAGCCCATAAAGGCCAAACACCCCTCCATATCCTCATTGTCAGGAAACAAAAAGTCACGCTTAGAAGAATCAAAGATTGGATATTGTCTGATGAACTAAAAATGGGCGATACTGTAAGAAATAACATATCCAACCCTAAAGTTGAAGGTAACTTGTTCGAGAAGACTATCATGAAAGGTGAATTGCCACACATTGTGGCAGCACTCACACTAGACATAGAGATAGCCAAAATTGTGATAGAGATGACTAGTCAGAATATCAAGGCGAAAAACAGCAACGGAAACACAGTTTACCATTGCCTGGTGGAACATGCTGCAAGAAATCCGAACGACATACAGGAAGTGATTGCAATGTGGAAATTTCTTGTCCGTTATCCAAACGAAAAGGCCGACCTCGAAAAGGCCGACCTCATAGTAGAAGCACTTGACAAAAAGGGGATGAGAGAAACCAACAATGACCACCTGCGACCATTACAGTTGGCTGCTGACCTTGGGGTAGCTGATCTTTTCGACATAATACTGAATTTAGAGAAGATAAAAAATGATGACGAAGGACTTTTTGACTCGGACCTTTATGATATATGTGTAATCGACACCGTGACTCACTTCAAAGTTCAAACAGTTAACAAAAAGAATCATGAGAACAACGAAAATGCAAAGCGAAATCAAGTAGGGCCAATCGAAGCAGGAAACAAGGAGGACAAGGTCGGCAAAGCAGTCACAACCGAAAAGTACAAGTGGAGTCAGAGTGTATTGGAGATGGTGTGCAATAGAAAGGTTGCCAGAGACAAGGATTCTGTCTATCAAATAATAAGACAACCTGCGGTGAAGATGCTGATTAAACTGAAATGGGAGGAGAGTCGAAAGGCAGTGTGTATATTGGCACTTATTCATTTTTGTTTAATGGTGTGGTATAGTGCATATGCGGTAGTATGGTCGCTTGAAGCTTTCCCCTCAAACTCAACCAACCCTGCTACTACAGATTACCAGAGAACCTTCATGTTTGTCAGCTCCATCCTGTGCTTTGTAGTCGGTGCACTGTATTTGATCATAACAGTTTTACTGATTATATCTCGATGCATACGCCCAAATTCTTTTGAATACTTCACACACGATCTTGAATACATCGTTTTGCTGTGCTTGTTTTCAATT